GATGGATTAAAAAACAAGACCCAACAATATGGTCCCTCCAGGAAACACATCTCAGCTCTCAAGACAAACATAGGCTCAGAGTGAAGGGATGGAAGACGATACTCCAAGCTAGTGGCAAACAAAAGAAAGCAGGTGTTGCCGCATACTTATATCAGACAAAGTAGACTTCAAGATAAAAAAAGACAATTAGAGAGAAAGAGGGACAGTATATAATGATAAACGGGATACTCCACCAAGAGGACATAACACTTATAAATATATATGCACCTAACATAGGAGCACCAAAGTACATAAAGCAACTATTATTAACAGACCTAAACGGAGAAATTAAGAGCAACACAATAATAGTAGGGGACCTCAACAACCTACTTATATCAACGGATAGATCATCCAGACAGAAAGTCAACAAGGAAATAGTGAAATTAAATGAAAAACTAGACCAGATGGACTTAATAGATATATATATAGAACACTCCATCCAAAAACAGCAGAATACACATTCTTCTCAAGTGCACATGGAACATTCTCAAAGATAGACCATATGTTGAAAAAGAAGGCAAGCTTCAATAAACTTAAGAAGATTGAAATCACATCAAGTAACTATTCTGACCATAATGCTATGAAACTAGAAATCAACTACAAGAAAAAAGCTGGGAAAGTCACAAATATGTGGAAACTAAACAACATGCTACTGAACAACCAATGGATCATTGAAGATATTAAAGGAAAAATCAGAATATATTTGGAGACAAATGAAAATGAAAATACACCACACCAACTCACATGGGATGCAGCAAAAGCAGTCCTAAGAAGGAAATTCATAGCAATACAGGCCCACCTTAACAAACAAGAAGAACCTCAAATAAGTAATCTTAAACTATACCTAACACAACTAGAAAAGGAAGAACAAACAAAGCCCAAAGTCAGAAGAAGGAGGGAAATAATAAAAATTAGAGGATAAATAAATGAAATAGAAACAAACAAACAAAAAAAACAGTAGAAAGGATCAATGAAACTAAGAGCTGGTTCTTTGAGAAGATAAAATTGACAAATCCTCAGCCAGACTCACTATGAAAAAAGAGAGAAGGATCAAATAAATAAAATTAGAAATGAAAGAGGAGAAATTACAACAGATACCACAGAAATACAAAGGATTATGAGAATACTATGCCAACAAATTGGATAACCTGGAAGAAGTGGATAAATTCTTAGACTCATACAACCTCCCAAAACTGAATCAAGAAGAAATAGAGAATGTGAACAGACCAATCAAAAGTAAAGAGATTGAAACAGTAATCAAAAACATTCCAAAAAATAAAAGTCTACGACCAGATGGCTTCTTTGGAGAATTCTACCAAACATTCAAAGAAGATTTAATACCTATCCTTCTCAAACTATTCCAAAAAATTGAAGAAGACAGAACACTTCCTAACACATTTTACAAGGCCAACATCACCCTGATCCCAAAGCCAGACGAGGACAACACAAAGAGGGAAAATACAGGCCAGTATTGTTGAAGAACATAGATGCAAAAGTCCTCAACAAAATATTGGCAAACCGAATACAGCAATGCATTAAAACGATCATACACCATGATCAAGTAGGATTTATACCAGGGACGTAGGATGGTTCAACATCCGCAAATCAATCAATGTGATACACCACATTAACAAAATGAAGAATAAAAATCACATGATCATCTCAATAGATGCAAAGAAAACATTTGACAAGATCTAACATCCATTTATGATAAAAACTCTCAATATAATGAGTATAGAAGGTAAGTACCTCAACATAATAAAGGCCATATATACAAACCCACAGCCAACATCATACTCAATGGGGAAAAACTGGAAGCCAGCCCTCTGAGAGCAGGAACAAGACAAGGCCCACTCTCACCACTCTTATTCAACATAGTACTGGAGGTTTGGGCCAGAGCAATTAGGCAAAAAAAGAAATAAAAAGTATTCAAATTGGTAAGGAAAAAGCGAAACTCTTGTTTGTAGATGACATGATTCTATACAGAAAACCCTAAAGAATCCATCAGAAAACTATTAGAAATAATCAACAACTACAGCAAAGTTGCAGGGTACAAAATCAACTTACAAAAATCAGTTTCATTTCTAAACTCTAATAACAAACTAACAGAAAGAGAACTCAAGAATACAATCCCATTTATAATCACAACAAAAAGAATAAAATATCTAGGAATAAATTTAACCAAAGAGGTGGAAGACCTATACAGTGAAACTGTAAGACATTATTGAAAGAAATCAATGATGACATAAAGAAATGGAAAGATACCCCATGCACATGGATTGGAAGAACAAACACAGTTAAAATGTCCATATTACCTAAACCAATCTACAGATTCAGTGTTACCCCAAACAGAGTCCCAACGACATTCTTCATGGAAATAGAACAAAGAGTCCTAAAATTCATATGGGGCAACAAAAGACTGCAAATGGCTAAAGGAATCCTGAAAGAAAAGAACAAAGCTGGAGGTATCAACATATACTACAAAGCTATAGTAACCAAAACAGCATGGTACTGGTACAAAAACAGACACACAGATCAATGGAACAGAACTGAAAGCCCAGAATTAAAACCACACATCTACAGACAGCTAATCTTCAACAAAGGAGCCAAGAACATACAATGGAGAAAGGAAGAAAGAAGTCTCTTCAATAAATAGTGCTGGGAAAACTGGACAGCCACATGCAAAAGAATGAAAGTAGACTATTATCTTTCATCATACACAAAAATTAACTCAAAATGGATTAAAGACTTGAAAGTAAGACGTGAAACCATAAAACTTCTAGAAGAAAATGTTAACAGTACACTCTTTGACATTGGTCTTATAGGCATCTTTTCTAATACCATGTCTACTCAGGCATGAGAAACAAAAGAAAAACTAAACAAATGGGACTACACCAGACTAAAGAGCTTCTGCAAGGCAAAGGAAACCACGAACAAAACGAAAAGACAACCTACCAACTGGGAGAAAATATTTGCAAGTCATATATCCAACAAGGGGTTTATCTCCAAAATATATGAAGAACTTATACAACTCAACAACAGAAAAAAACAAACAACCCAATCAAAAAATGGGCAGAGGATATGAACAGACACTTTTCCAAAGAAGACACACAGATGGCCAACAGGCACATGAAAAGATGTTCAACATCACTAATCATCAGGGAAATGCAAATCAAAACTACAAGCAGATATCACCTTACATCTGTTAGAATGGCTATAATCACCAAGACAAAAAGTAACAAATGTTGGAGAGGATGTGGAGAAAAGGGAACCCTCATCTACTGCTGGTGGGTATGCAAACTGGTGCAACCCCATGGAAAACAGTATGGAGATTTTTCAAAAAATTAAAAATAGAAATACCATACCTCCCAGCTATCCCACTACTGGATATTTATCCAAAGAGCTTGAAATAAACAATTCAAAGAGACTTATGCACCCGTATGTTCATCGCAGCATTATTCACAATAGCCAAGATGTGGAAGCAACCCAAGTGCCCATCAACTGATGAATGGATAAAGTTGTGGTATATATATATACACACAACGGAACACTACGCAGCCATAAAAAAAGACAAAAGCGTCCCATTCACAACAACATGGATGGACCTTGACGGTATGACTAAGCGAAATAAACCAGACAGAAAAGACAAACACCACATGATTTCACTCATATGTGGAAAATAAACAAACACATGGACAAAAAGAACAGATTAGTGGTTACCAGGGAGGAAGCAGGTTGGGGGGTGGGCATAAGGGGTAAAGGGGTACATATATATGCTGACTGACAAATAATAGTGTACAACTGAAATTTCACAGTTATAAACTATCATGACCTCAATAAAAAAAGAAAAAGACCAGAAGTAACAAGCGTTGGTGAGTATGTGGAGAAAAGGGAACCCTTGCGCAGTATTGGTGGGAATGTAAATTGGCACAGCTACTATGGAAAACAGTATGGAGGTTCCTAAAAAAATTAAAGGTAGAACTACCATATGATCCAGCAATTTCACTTCTGGGCATTTATCTGAAGAAAACAAAAACGCTAACTTGAAAAGATATATGCAACCCCATGTTCACCGCAGCATTATTTACGATAGCCAAGATATGGAAACAACTTTAGTGTCCATCAAGCGCTGAATGGATAAAGAAAAAGCAATGTGTATACAAACACACACATGCACACACACACAGAGGAATATTATTCAGCCATAAAAAAGAATGAAATCTTGCTATTTGTGACAACATGGATGGACCTTTAGGGCATCATGCTAAGTGAAATAAGTTAGACAGAAAAAGACAAATAGCATATGATCTCACTTATATGTTGAATGTAAAAAAAAAAAAAAGTCATAGATACAGAGCACAGATTGGTGGTTTCTAGAGGCAGGAGCTAGGGGGTGTGCTAAATGGGTGAAGGTGGTCCAAAGGTACAAACTGCTAGTTATAAAATAAATAAGTCATGGGGATGTAATGTACAGCATGGTGACTGTAGTTAATAATACTGTATTGCATATTTGAAAGTTGCTAAGAAACTAGATCTTAAAAGTTCTCATCACAAGACAAAAAATTTGTAACTTTGGTGAAAGATGTTAAGTAGACTTACAGTGGTGATCATTTCACAATGTATACAATTCACAATTTCACAATGTATACAAACAACAAATCATTATGTTGTACACCTGAAATTAATACGTTATATGTCAATTATACCTCAATAAAAAAAAGATGAGCTTTTTGGTAATGATGGTCAATTTTGAGCCCAATTTCTGGGATAACACTATTTAAACGCCCGTGGCTAGCTCGTGTACTTCAAGTAGATAATACCAGAAGGACTCGTGGTATAATCTTCCAGCTCTGCTCCTTTTCCTGGTATGGCAGGGAATGCGTAGGACCCCAGGGGGTGTGCAGGACATCCACGCAGGCCCAAGCGTACTACAACCGCACAGGGCGTCAGGCAGAGCTCACCTCTCACAGCTTCATCCAAGGAGCCCCCCGAGGCAGGAACAGAGTACACATTCAAGCACTTATTAGCCAGGAATCTGATCCCTCTCACAGGTGAATAAGTGCTTGTCAACACACTGTTTTCCCTTAAAATGACAGAAAAAAATACTTTTCACATTTCTGAAAGAAGACAATATGAACATTGCTGAGTTCAATTGCTCTTGTATCATTTAAGTTCTAAAAAACACACAAGAGCCTAAACTATGGATTATTTAAATATTTAAGGACCAATTGTTGAACAGGACTCATGATGATTCTTTAGATGCGGAAGAATGATCTGCTCTCCCTCCATAGTTTTTCTTTGTTTACATATTCTAATAATTTAAATAAGGAAGCATTCACTTGGCACATCACATTTTGTACTAGCAATTTCTTTAAGAACTCCCAACTGAAGCAGGGCTGGACTGCCCCAGGGCCTGTGACCTCCTGTGACAGAGGAATGCTCGACTCCATCGTGCCCAATCTCATTGCTACAGTCACAACTGTCATTACCAGCTAAGCCTCATTTTAAGATCTCAGAAATAACAAAAGAAGAAATAAGAGTGAGTCAAATGATGACCGGCTCACGGGCCTAAGAATATTACATATTTTATCACTGTAATTAAATGATACACATCGGAAATGGGAAAAGTTCACTCTTCTTAATAAATACCTGAGTTTTCATTATGAGTGGGTTCAATGCCTATCTACACTTCTTTTTTTTTGTGAGGAGATCAGCCCTGTGCTAACATCTGCCAATTCTCCTTTTTTTTTTTTTTGTTGCTAAGGAAGACTGGCCCTGGGCTAACATCCGTGCCCATCTTCCTCCACTTTATATGGGACGCCGCCACAGCATGGCTTGCCAAGCAGTGCATCGGTGCACGCCCGGGATCCGAACCAGCGAACCCCGGGCCGCTGCAGTGGAGCGCACGCACTGAACCGCTTGCACCACCCGGCCGGCCCCACCTATCTACACTTCTAGCATCAGCATCAGAGGAAAATAACAAGCCGACCTCAGATTCACAAGAGCCCTTTCATACCTTTGTGCCATGATCGTGCCTGGGAGGGACAGCTGGATGGGCATGTGTTTCTTACAAAACCTCCCATTACTCTGAAGTGCTTCTGTAATCTAAAAAACAGAGGTGGGGGGCGGGGGTGAGGAGGGGTGGGGTAGAGAGTGTGAGAGACCTCTATTTAGACAGATATAGATATTTTTTCATATATACAAACATACATTTCCGATTATTAAAAAATAGAAAGAAAATTGTAGCATTAAAGCATTGTCTTTGAGGACAAAGTTCAAGGGCTTGGGAGTGGAATACCTGGCCCATAATGTCTGGAGAGATTTTCTCCCGGATATACTTCACATAATCAACTGTTGCCTCAAGAATCGAAGCCGCATCATTTTTTCTCCCCTTTATATATGGCAGCAGAGTCCGCAGCTGCTCACAGCAATACTTGATTCGTTCTCTAAGCAGAGAATTGTAATAAATAAGGAATAATTAGTCTCTTTTTCTTCCTTGTACACAAGGACAAACAATCCTTCCTCCGGGGTTTGCTTATAAAGGAACGGCCCCTCTCCCCATCTAGTCTCCATTTCAAAGAAAGGCTGTGTCCCCACAAGCCAGCAGCCCCCCCAGTCCCTGGAATCACAACTTCCTGGAGCGCCCACTCACAATCCTGGCAAAGTATAATGTTTGTGCTGACGGCTGCCCCAGCTCACTTGCTCCAGGCCTGCTGCAGTGTGCAGGATGCCCAGACACTGGGGAGAATACATGCCCACCACCAGCCTACAGAAACCTACAGAGGACGCTTCCCTCAGAGGAGAGAATTGCATGCTATACATAAATCCTTTTGCGATTCACACTAGAAGCCTAGAAGGCAAAGAGTAGTCAGGATATTCGTGTCACTGAGACCTGGACCACATTTCCAACAATAGATCAACTAGCATCTTGTAATATACGCGCTTTACATGTAACTCTGTGTTCTGAGCCAGAGGAAAATCAGAAGGCTGCTTCCTTCACATGAGGTAGGTATGGACAGAACAAAAAAACCAAGATGCCAGTGAGAACATCGTCCGGGCTAGTATCAGAAAGAAACTAACCTAACTGTTTCATAGTCCTGAAGGGAAATACATAGGACATGTAAATCTAAATGGATCTAAGCCTTTGGTACCTTCATTTATGCATGTGTTCATTTCATAAACGTTATTAAATACCTGTTTTGTGCCAAATACTGCCTTGCCATATACAGGGTCAAGTGGTGGCTCTGCCAATTAACAGCTGGGACCTTCGGCAAGTTATTAAACCTCTCTGAATCTCAGAATGGCAAAAAAAAAATCAACTAAAAAATCTAGTTTGGTATACAGCCAGTAAAAAAAATTCTAGATCAGGGGTGCTTTAATTGGGCTTTGAGGAGCTCTGGGGATTCTGTGGAGGTGTCTCAGGGAGTACTCTGGAAAGAACGGGATGGAGGAGTCAACAATTTGACAAAGTACGAAGGGCTCTGAAACTTTGCACACCCTTTGACATGGTACTTCCACTTACAAGGATCTAAAACACAGGAAAACCTTTTTGTAAAAAGATATCCACTATAGTAGTATATCAGTAAAATATGAAACACAATCTAAATACTCAAAATAAGTAGATGCTTAGGTAAGCTGTAGTATACTAGCTCAGTAGAATATTATCTGGCAGTGGAAATGATAAGCTATAAAGCTTATTGGGGGAAAAACAGGATATTTTTATAGGATACAAGTATAAGATATAAGACAGCATATAAAATATGATCATAGCCACTAAACAAAGCAAAAATAAAGCACAGAAAAAAGACTGAAAGCAAAAACATCAAGTAATGGTTATTTCTGGATGGTTAGGCTAAGGAAAGTACTATTTCTTCCTTTTATTTTCTATAGTTTCCAAATATTTTTGCTGGGTATATGCCACTTTTATAAAAAAAAAATCACACTAAACATTTTTTCCAACATTCATTAGGAAAAAGTTCAAATATACAGAAAGATTGAAAGAATTAAGAATTCCTAATTGTCAAAAGTTGGAAGAATTAAGAATTTGTTCAGGGAGCCCTTACATACTTACTACCTAGATCTCCAATGAACATTTACTGTCCTTGCTTTGTCACATATGACTCATCCCACTGGCCATGCATCAATCCATTTTATTACATTGAAGCATTTACAGTAAGCTGTAGACTTCAGTACACTAAACCCCTAAACCTATCAGTAGCTAGAGTTCAAATTATTTTATTTTCAGGTAAAAGTTACATAAAATAAAATTTATAAATCTTAAGTGTACTATTCTATGAGTTTTGACAAATGCACACAACTGTGTAACACAAACCCTAATCAACATTATCCAAACTCCAGAAAGTTCCTTAAGTGCCTTTCCAATCTTGCTCCCCATAAGAGGCAACCACATTTCTGATATTTTTCCACCCCACATTAGTTTGAACTCGAATTGTCCTTGAACTTCCTCTAAGTCAAATCTTACAGCATGTGCCCTTTTATGGAAAGTTTCTTTCATTCAGCTAATATTTTTGAGATTTATCCATGGGGCTGCTTATATCAGTTTGTCCCTTCTTCTTGAGTAATAGTATTCCATAGCATAAATATATAAGCCACAGCTTATATATCCATTCTCTTATTGATGAAGACTTTGGTTGTTTCAGTTTTTGGTTATTATGAGTAAAACTGCTAGATCATTCTGTACATCTTTTTGTGGATGTGTTTTCATTTCTCTTGGGTAAATATCTAGGTATAGAATTGATGGGTTAGTTTATAAATTTATAAGAAACTGGCAGAACTTTTCCCCAAATAGTACCATTCTATATTCCCACCACCAATGTATGAGATTTCCTGTTGTTCCAAATCTTTGATAACATTTAATATTGTCAGTAGCTTTAATTTTAGCATTTTGGCCTTTCTGAGGTATATGTGGTAGTATCTCATGCTTTAATTTGCATTTCCATGACAACAAATTATGTTGAGTACTTTTTCTGGTGATTATTGGGCACTTGTGTATCTTCCTTTGTGAAGTGTCTGTTCAGATATTTTATCTACATTTTAAATGGATTGCAGGTCTTTTTATTATTGAACTTTAGGAGTTCTTTATATATCCTTAATACTAGTATTTTGTCAGTATATTTGTTTTGTAAATATTTTCTCCCAGTCTACGGTTTACATATTTATTTTCTTAGTGGTGTCTTTTGATAGCAAAAGTTTTCAATTTTGATGCGTCTAATTCATCTACTCTCTTTTATGGTTATTGCTTTCTGTGTCCTAAGGAACAGCTGCCTGCCCTCAGCTTGTGAAGACATTCTCCTATGCTTTTCTTCTGGAACTGTACTGTCCGATACAGTAGCCATTAGCCACATGAGTCTATTTAAATATAAATTAATTCAAATGAAATAAAATTTAAAATTCATTTCCTAAGTTTCCACAGTTCAAATATTACTCAATAACTACATGTGGCTAGTGGCTACCTTATTGGACAACAGACGCAGATATAGGCCATTTCTAACACTGCAGCAAGTTCTACTGAACAGTGCTATTCTAGAAGCTTTATAGTTTTAACTTCATAGTATAGCTCTATCTCCATCTTGAATTAATTTTTCATATAGTATGAGTAAGGGCCAAGGTTCACTGTTTTTCCATATGGCTATCCGATTGTTCCAGCACCATTTATAGAAAAAATTTCTGTTTCCCAATTTGTTTGTTCTGGAGACTTGTTGAAAATCAAATGACCATAAATGTGTGGGTCCAGTACTAAGCTATCCTGTTCCACTGATCTACCGACATAGATCTACTATTACATAACCTTTACGCTAGTAACATACCCATTATTGTAGCTGTCTACTAAGTCTTGAATTCAGATAGTTTAAGTTCTCCAACTTTGTTGTGCTTTTTCAAGATTGCTCTATTCTAAGTCCTTTTATATTTGAAGTCCTTTTCATATATTTTTTAATCAGATTGTCAATTTTTACCCCAAAAATACCTATTGGGATTATCATTTAGAATCAGATAAAGTTATATTTCAATTTGGTGAGAACTGACATCTTAACAATAATAAGTCTTTCAATTCATAATTATGGTATAACGCATGATTTAGGGTTTCTTTAGTTTCTCATGGCAATATGTTGAGTGATCAATGTGCAGACCCTATATGCCTTTTTGCATATTTGTTCCTAAGTATTCTAAGGCTTTTTTACTCTATTGTAAATGTAATTATTTTTTTAATTTTCATTTTTGAATCATTTGCTGCTAATCCATAAAAATACAATTGATTTGTACATTGACCTTATATCTTGCAACCTTGCTATATTCCTCTTTGGGTCCTAGTAGTTTTTTGTAGGTGTGTTAGGACTTTATACATAAACAATCATGCCATCTATGAACAAGAGAGTTTTGTTTCTGCCTTTCTAACCTGTGTGTCTTTTACTTCTTTTTCTTACCTAACTGCAATGTCTAGACAGCTTATTCGATGATGAATAGAAGTGATAAGAATGGGCAGCCTTATTTTGTTCCAGAATTTTTTAAGGAACAAAAGGTCAAAACTTCATAAAGTGCAATGTTAGCTATAAGTTTTTCATAGATGACCTTTAGCAGATTGAGGAGGTTCTCTTCCATGCCTAATTTGCTGAAAGGTTTAAAACTTGAAAGAGTATTGAATGTTGTCAAATAATTCTTCAGAATCTGTTAATCATATGATTTTTCTCCTTTTTTCTGTTTAATGTGGTGAATTACATTGACTGATTTTTGAATGTTACACCTGCCTTGCTTTTCTAGGATAAACCTGGTGTGGTCATGATGCATTATATCTTTATATATTACTCGCTTTGGTTTGTTAAAATTATGTTAAGTATTTTTATGTCTCTGTTCACGAGGGATACTGGTCTGTAATTTTCTTTTTTTATGTCTTTATCAGGTTTAGGGTTATGCTGGCCTCATGAAATGGGTTAGGAACTGTTCCCTTTTCCTCCATTTTCTATAAGAATTTGTTTAAGATTGGTATTACTACTTCTTTAAACTTTCGACAGAATTCATCAGTAAAACCATCGGGGCTTGGTGTTTTCTCTTTGGCAAGGTTTTTATAGAAAGTTCAATTTCTTTAATATATAGGGCTATTCAGATTTTCTGCTTCACCTGGTACCAGTTTTGGTAAATTGTGTTTTTCAAGAATTAGTCCATTTCATCTAAATTGTTAAACTTACTGGCATAAAATTACTCAAAATATACCCTTTTTATATCTAAATGTTTATAGGATCTGTAGTGATAATCCTTCTTTCATTCATAATGTTGGTAAAATGTTTTTGGTCTCTCGTCTCACCTGCCTGCCTCCCTTTCTATTTACTTTGGATTTACTCACTTTACTTTTTCTAGCTCCTTAAAATGGACGCTTACTTAGGTCATTGATTTTTAGACCTTTTTGCCTTTTCTAATATAAGCATTTAAGCAT